ACCGGTGAGATCGACATGGTTTTACAGAGACAAAAAACCATTCCGCTGGTACTACGCTGTAAAAATCAAAGAATAATAGACGAAATTTTCTTCTATCTAAAATGAAGGTATGTATGCCTTTGGTCGAAAACTAAAAACATCGAAAGTGAAAATGCAGAATGTATAAGAATGGCGAAAACTTGAAATGTAGAAAATGCAGAATGTCGAACAGTAAAAACATGGGAAATGTGAGTTTTAAAAGTGGACTCGTATCTCTAAAATATTTCTCGCTCATAATTCTACCGATAGATCTGCAAATCTTTTGTGCACACGGTCATTTTGTTTGTGAAATATTTTGCCGTTGTGTTTCTTTGCATTATAAAGAGCCTTAGGAGTAATGTTCTTGAACAATTAGATAGAAAATAAACCTTCTAAATAAAGAAGAAAAGTAGCTAACAAGTTTACGAAGATTTGACACAAACAAAATGTCCGTGTACACAAAAACTTGCAGATCTATCGGTGGAATTATGAGCAAGAAATATTTTGGAGATACGAGTGCACTTTTAAAACTCACATTTCCATTGTTTTTACTGTTCGAAATTTTGCACTTCGTCATTTAGATTTTTCACATTTCAAGTTTTCACCATTCTGATTTTCGATCTTATACATTCTGCATTCTCACTTTCGGTGTTTTGGGTTTTCGAGATTCAGCCAAACAGTAAAAGGAAATAACTATGAAACCTTCTAATGTGACACATTCCGATGTGAACGGTTCTGAAGTACGATTTTACAGCAAAAAGCTCCTCTTGACTCTGAACAGTGAACGCTTCTTCAGCCTGCAAAGCACCTTATAAATTTGAATACTAGCACGTGAGGAGAATAGGCCACAATCTTTCTAAGAGGAATACATAGAATACAAAAAAGAAAGAAAGAAAACGTTCTGCTTATGAACTTTCTTTAAAATTCGGATATTTGGTCCATCCTGGAAGGGATTCTTCGAAGAAAGCTGTATATCTCCGCCAAGCAATAATTTATATTTATTTTTTCGTCTTCCGTACTTGCTTTCTCGACTGCAGATTCATAACAACTGATAGAGTGATTATAGTGTTTGTTAGTCAGATTTTGACAACAATCACCAATATCCATATGAATTTTACCAATATCAGCGGAATAATCTAATTCATCGTCGTCTTTGTATTCGTCCCAGAATTTAATGCTTCTTCGTAATTTGATAATGCTACACTATAATTATCCTCTTTCCACTCTTGATAAGTTCCTATGCAATGCATTTTAACGGCTCAAAAATTTACTTTTCTGATGGAAATAAAAAAATTAATTCATAAAAAATACTGTTCATATCTTCAGGTGGAGCCATCCAGATATAATGAGTTAATTGACTAATAGAATTTTTTAAACTTTTTCTTTTACTTTCACAATCAAATTTTAAATTAAAATTAGATTGTAGTTTTAATATCACATTCTAGTGCTTTTCATTTTCATCGTACAATAAATCACTTTTCTGTACTAAAAATTGTATTCCAATCATCAATAAAACTTCACGTTCATCTGGCATAATGCTTAAATCTGAAATGCATTCATATGGACGTGACATCTCTCGCATATCCATTTCAACTTCAAATAAAACGCTTTGAAATTCATCTTCAAGTTTTGACTCTTGATTTAGAAAGAATAATGCCACGGAACGATCATCACTAGTTGAAAAGAAACTGTTGTTTACAATTGTTCTATGAGTTAAAAGTCCTTTAAGTTGTTTAATTTCAATGCGTGACATTAGTTGTCCACGGTATAATCTTAAGGGATTTTTTGGATTGTCTTTGAGTTTTTCATGTTCTATATATATATATATCAAAAGGAAAGATTTTGAGCTGCTTCTGTAATTTGTTTATAACAGAATATACTTAAAAGTAAACGTACTATTTGTGTTGTCAAATCACCTTTTATCACTTCTATAATGCTTTTTGAAATATTTGCAGATACACAATCCTCTTGATATGATTCCGGTTTATTAGGGAGGATGAGGGCATTGGTATTTTTCAGCTTGTTATCATGAATTAACAAGTTTAGTTCAGTTACGAATGTATCATAGTAATGGCGTTTGCCCGATTCCGATATAACAAAGTTGACATGTACTCCCATGGTAGAATGAAGTACTTGTATATGTGCACTAGACAGCATAGCGGAAGCATATCACCGACAAAAATTAAAGTTCATTTAGAGTTAAAGAAAAGTGCTTTTTCGTATTCAGCACACTTGATAACCTCGAAAATTTTCTATTTTTAGCGAAGGGTACCGCCAAAAAGTTAAGAAAAATTTTCAAAATTGTATAATTTTGCCATGGAGATTTTTCTGCGTCACATTGTTTGAAAATTTTTCTTAACTTTTTGGCGGTACCCCTCGCTAAAAACAGACAATTTTCCAGGTTATCAAGTGTGCTGAATACGAAAAGCACTTTTCTTTAACTCTAAACAAACTTTAATATTTTTTTATCGGTGATATGAATATGAACAGTGTTCGTATGAAAAAAGCTCACGTTCACCAATGCTTTAGCGTTAACGTTCAAGGAACGCCAACGTGAACTTTTACAGGCCTAGTCAAGAGTAAAACTCGTTTAGATTTTTTTATATCAACATTAGCTACACTTCATCCACAAGATGAACAACATGTGTTAATGTACCCACGTATCACATTCCCATGGATTTTATTCCATTAAATGCAGAGAAATGTGATACGTGGGTACATTAACAATATTCGTCAGCAAATAATTGCAAGTCAAGGTCGGTAAAGCACAGAGTAATAGAAAATTTCGAGCGCTATCAGAATATATACTTACTTTTGCAATAATTTATTTTTATCGTCAAATAAATCTGAGAAAATAAACGAAGAACAAAAAATCCAGTTCGGGCGAATCTGACGATGAGAGTGCCTTCACTGTGCTTGAAATATTTTTTAGCAAACAAGTGCAATTTAGGACATACATATACGGGGTTACAGAGAATTCCAAGCACTATCAGAACATATAATTACTTTTCTAAAAATGTAAATGTATAGTAATGCTATATTAAAGATATCTGGTCCAACTTTTTTTTTCCAGGCGGATATATAGTCAACATGCTATTCACTACGACTTGTATCTCAAAAAGTGACTAAACACAGTAAAAGACCGACTGGAAGCAGAAGAAAACGGTTCAAGTGGAAAATAATACCAAATTTTCTTAACTTTCAGTTTTTTAGTGCAATTCACGCAGTTTTCTTGATTGACATTCTGAAACGGAAGTTTAGGTATGGTTTTGTAGAGTATTTCGCGACGCATCTTTTTAAGTAAAACGTTAACATTTGGACCCAAAGACTGGACTAAAGGACTAAAGTGAATAAAAAACTAAAATCTGCATATCATATACAGTCTTTAATCACACATGCAGTCATCCATGCGTATAACCTTTTCTTCCATGTTTTTGTTTATCCATGTTTTTCTATAACTTTCTATAACTTTTTAGCTGAAAACATCACGGGACAACCTTGTATGGTTGAACAAGCACAAGATACTTTCATATGCAGAATCAGTCGTTCTTAACAATGTGTGTGCATCGACTATACGTACCGTAAAATGACTTTTTTTGTAATGCTTTCTCTCTTCTCTCGTTACAAAAAAGTATTGGTATATAAATATGTATACTAAGCAAACCAAAATCATTCGTCTACATTTGTCCTGCAATACCATCACTCCGTAACTCTTCAGTATTAGCTGTTACACCAACATCGACCGTACAAAGAATGTCCCATATACCCCAGCAAATATAGGGATCAACAACATATGAAACGAAGGACTACAGTAGTTGCAGATGCCCTGAAAATAAACTCAACATTCAAAGGACTTAAGTAGTCGTAGATGCGTTGAAAATGGACTCACTTTTAATAAGTCTGACTATTGGAGCGAGCAATATGTCGAATGAAGGGGCCAAAGCAGTTGCATATGCTTTCAACATTAGCAAGTCTTAATACTGGATCCGGCTGTGTATTCGATGCACGGAGCAAAGAGGTCGCATAGCATTGAAAATAAACTCAGCATTAACAAGTCTTAATATATTACGGAACAATATATCGGAACAAGAGATCAGAGTAATAAAAAATCCCTTGAAAATAAAGGCAGCATAAACAAATCTTAATATAGGGATCAACAACATATGAAACGAAGGGACCACAGTAGTTGCAGAAGCATTGAAGATAAACTCAAAGTTAACAGATCCTAACATAAAGGGCACCAACCTATCAGGTGAAGAGGCCAAAGCGCTTCGAGATGCCTGGAAAATATACTTAACATTAAGAAGTCTCAATATTAACGGCGACGGAACATCGGATGAAAGGGCTAAAGCAGTTGTGGAGGCTTTGAAAATAAACTCAACATTCAAAGGCCTTAAGTAGTCGTAGATGCTTTGAAAACGGACTCAGCCTTAATAAGTCTGACTATTGGAGCGAGCAGTATGTCGAATGAAGGGGTCGAAGCAGTTGCACATGCTTTCAACATTAACAAGTCTTATCCGGCTGTGTATCCGATGCACGGATCAAAGAAGTCGCAGTAGCATTGAAAATAAACTCAGCATTAACAATTCCCAGGTCAAAAAAAATGAGACATAAATGAGCCATTTATGAGCAATAAATGATATGGGCTTAAAATCACGTTAGAATGATCATGTGATGACTTAAAAATGATGCAGAAATGACATCATTTCATGGTCATCCTAAGATCATTTTGAAAAATGATCTAATTATGATCATTTTAAGATCATAGAAAGAAAAATGGACTAAATATGACCTTGCGATGATCATCTCGTTTTAGGTC